TTTCTATTTTTAGTAGAGACGGGGTCTCGCTCTTGCTCAGGCTGGTTTCGAACTCCTGAGCTCAAATGATCTGCCCGCCTCGGCCTCCCAGAGTGCCAGGATTACAGGCGTGAGCCACTGCGCCCAGCCTCCTACTAAGCCTCTTTAAGCCTCACTTTCTCACCTGTAAAATAAGAACCATAATAGGACCTCCTCCATAAGTTTATTGTGAGGCTTCAATGAGTTAATCCATGTAAAGCCAGTAGCTGGGTACATGGAAGGTTGTAAACCCTCAATGAATTTCAGCTGCTGATCGGTTCCTTTTCCTGTGGCCAGGAAGAGCCTCATGTATATTTATCTCCTGGTACCCACATTTACTAAATCACCACATGCAGGAAATACGCCTAGGAAGCTACATTTTTTAAAAGTTCTCCATAGGGGTTTCTCATATATACTTCTGGTTATGTATTACTGCCTTAATAGAGAAATACAAGAGGGTCATGAATATGTTCTGGAAGAAGGTGTAGAATTAGTAAGACCTCTGTCCTCCCCTTACCTTTGACTGGTAGGTAAAGAGATAGGTATGGGTAGGTCCTGGCTTGGTAGTCATCTTAACCTCTTCTCCATGTAGGCTTTTCAGGAGAAGGCATAGCCAACTGGTGATGAGTGGGGTGTGTCAGAGAGGAAAAAGGGACTTAGAGGATTCTGTTTGGTTTTCTCCAAATAGGTCAAACTGTATCTCCTCAGTCTGTTCTAACTACAAATCTTGAAGTAAAAAATGGAGTGAATTGTGAACACAGTCCTGTGGATTTAAGCAAGGTGAGCAGAGACATGGGAAGTTGGCTTCTAGGCCTAAGGTTATTTCTAGCGGAACCCAGAGTCCATTTGTTGAATCTGGGTGAGCTTTGGTGTTTCAAGATTCTTCCTCCAAGACCGATGCCCTTTCTGCATAAAAGGAGGCCCATTTGCACATGTCTACTCCCTTTTACCCCAGCTTGGATGAGGCTGACTCAGCAGTTTGTTCCTCCAGATTCAATATGCAGAAAACTGAGTCTTCCCTAACACAGACATCCTGATTTTTTTGTTATTTTTTGGTACCTGCTCTCCAGCATTTCCTTCTCACCTTATTTGCCAAAATAATATTTTTGTTATTGTCTTTTAAAACTACCTCTTGGTCGAAACTCTTCTTGAGGACTGTGACTTTGGTATCTGAGGCCTTCTGCAGTAGCAATGCCTTACTGCAGTCTGGGCCAAGCCCTGGTCTCTTTGCCTCCAGCCTCTCCTTCCTCTTTCTAAAACAGATAGTGTCATGTCACTTTCTCTGCTTACAAGCCTCCCCGTTTTATTTAGAAAACCTGAAATCTCTGACAAAATGTTCAGGTATTTAAAAAGGGAAAGAATGTGACCCAGAGCTTCAGAAATATTCCTTTTTGAGGCAGCTTGGTAGAATGGAATTAAAATCAGAATACGTGGATTAAAATTCTGATTCTGTATCTTTAAAAGCTCTGCGGTCCTGGTGAAGTCAACTTCACTTCTCTAGGTCTCAGATACGTCGGTTTTTTTTTTTTAAAGTGGGACTAATATGATCTGTCTTGCCTACCTTCTGGAGTATTTGTAATGATCAAATAAAATAGTATGAGAAAATATTTATTAGCCATAAAATGACATAGGAGTGTAAGGTAGGAGGAGGATGAACGATGTTTACAATGATGGCTCCCAAATTGTCAGAGGGTTCTTTTGGACTTTCAGGTGGACCTTCATTTCATGAAAAAAATTCCCACTGGAGCAGAGGCCTCAAATGTCTTGGTTGGAGAGGTGGATACTTTGGACCGCCCCATCGTTGCCTTTGTGAGGCTGTCTCCAGCTGTTCTTCTCTCAGGCCTGACAGAAGTGCCAATCCCAACAAGGTAAAGACAGAGATGAAACTCCATGCATTCTGTCTAAAGTGCAAATTTGTGTAGCACTGGTGGAAGAATCCAGCTAATGCCAAAATTTAGGATTAATTAATGTTAAGAACAGTGTTTAAAATTCAGCAGTAATCTTAGAAAATCAGGGTATATTTGATTAACCACCAGGCAGAGAGGAATTCTAAGACTTTTAAGGCTATGACTGCACAGTACTTATAGTCTTGGAAATAGAGAATTAATGAGCATTCAAAGGGCATAGCAAGGGCCAATCACTTGTCACAATAGGAAACCTAAGACATATTCTCCCAATTCTATAAAGCTATATCCCAGGGAAATGTTTCTGAGCAAAGAAATTTCTGTCTCTTTCCACAATTCTAGCAGAGTTTATGTGGCTTGCAGATATGCCCACATTTGTTCAAAAGGCTATTCATATGCTCTGAAGGTGATGCTGCCGGTGATTCAGAGCCCTTGATTACAAAGAGCATTCAGATGCCCAGAACACAATTTAGATTTCTCTACAGGGCTCGATCATTTCAACTTCCTTATCCTGCTCCTCTCTCCATCATTTTCTTGTTAGAACAATGAAAGGGATTCAGATAACCTTTAATTTGCACTACAGTGCCATGTTTTGATAAAGTGTCCTTTGTATAACTCGGAATTGTGTCTATAGAAACCCTAAGAAATATAACCACATTATTAAATGATATCACACAAATAGCTTCCAATGCCCGTAGTAGAGCTATTAGGTCAAGGCAACTTGAAATGCTCTATTATTAGTATGTTTGCTTTTTTTTGAAGGTATAGTGATACTTTCTGTTTGATATGCTCTTTAGAAATGTTATGCTCTTTAGAGAGGAGTAAGATGCCACTTCTTTATATTTACTTACAGAATTTCCTCCTCTGTGTGTTTTGCCAGGTTTTTGTTTATCTTATTGGGTCCAGTAGGGAAAGGTCAGCAGTACCATGAAATTGGCAGATCCATGGCCACCATCATGACAGATGAAGTATGTGCCACTTCTGCTTCATTTATTTGCCTCATAAATATTTATTGAGTGTTTACTCTGTGCCAGGGACTGTGCTAGTTGTTGGGGATAAAATAATTATAACTGCAATGTCTGCTAGGAAGCAGTTTGGAGCACCTCTCTCAGAGCCTATTGTAAGAGGACAAAGCCCTCTGGGGGATTTTTCTTCCTATGTTATCTCTCTTTTTTTTTTTTTTTTTTTTCTCACTCTTTTGCCCGGGCTAGAGTGAGTGCCGTGGCGTCATCCTAGCTCACAGCAACCTCAGACTCCTGGGCCCAAGGGATCCTTTTGCCTCAGCCTCCCAAGTAGCTGGGACTACAGGCATGCGCCACCATGCCCGGCTAATTTTTTCTATATATTTTTAATTGGCCGATTAATTTCTTTCTAATTTTAGTAGAAGCGGGGTCTCGCTCTTGCTCAGGCTGGTCTCGAACTCCTGAGCTCAAACAATCTGCCCGCGTCGGCCTCCCAGGGTGCTAGGATTACAGGCGTGAGCCACCGCGCCCAGCCCATCTCTCCTTTTTTGAGTAATCAAGGATGCAGAGAAACCTTTGTTTTTAGAAAATTATTATTGCCAAGTAGGGTATAGAGAGAAATATATTAAGGTTGACTTAACTTTCAAGAGAAGATGATTAATTAAATATGTTCAAACTATTTACATAAAGAAACCTCACTCCTTTTCCATGTAATGAGATCAGTCACAGGTATGATCTCAGGCAGTGTAATGTGAATGTCCTGACTTGTCTGTACCAAAGCAACCAGACGTCGGCATTGTGTTGAATCCACAATGCATACCCTGGGGAGCACTGCACTGCTCATGTAAGCTACAAAGCAGGGCTTTCAAGGCATGTGTCTTAAAGCAGAGGACTGTGTGGGCTGTGTTTCATCAGCTCTCTTTGATTGGGAGGCTTATTTGATGGATGACCTTCAATAGTAATTCTATCCAGTGTTTCTAATCATTATGATCAAGAAAATTTCCCATGCGTCTTACCTTTTCTTTCATTCTTTGTGGACATATTATAGTTGTATGACTTTAATGTCATGTCTTATCTCTTCTTATACTAGCAGACGTATATTTAATTCTTTTTGACCTATCTCATCTTGAGGTTCACTTTTTTAATCCTTTTATCCTTGTACTTCTCTAAGTGCTAAAGTTTTCTGCATCTCAGATCCTCATTACAGAGATCAAAATCAAAATCATTATTCATCATATCCACTGGTGATTGTTTTAAGTTTCTTTCAACTTTCCTGAGGATTTTTCTTTTCTCTGTAGATTTTTCACGATGTGGCATATAAGGCAAAAGAGCGAGACGATCTCCTGGCGGGGATTGATGAGTTCCTAGACCAGGTGACGGTGCTCCCTCCAGGGGAGTGGGACCCCTCCATTAGAATTGAGCCACCAAAAAACGTCCCTTCTCAGGTAATGTATGGACATTAGCCAGTGGTGGCTAGTGTCACTTACTGAATGCCCACCATGGACAAAGCAAAGACCGTATGGATATATACTAAATAAATCGAGATATAGCCCCATTTCAGGGCACCTAGAATGTTGGAACAGTAATGAAAAACAGATCTGCCGTAACATAGATTGGCTCAGGTGTGATGGAGTTAGTCAGAATTACCTGGATGAATTTTAAGCCAAATTTTGAAGGATTGATGTGGAATGGCAGAGAGGAAAAGGGAGAACATTTCTTGGGAGTATATTGTGTACAAAGTCATCAGATTGTATATCAAGAGCAGCAAATAGAGCTCTCTGTATTTTTCTGACACTTTAAGGATGGAAAGGGAACTCCTACTGTGCACTGGACACCAGCCAGGTGCCTTATATATGTGAATTCAACCTTCCCTGCAAAATCTCCCAAAAGGTATTGTTATCCCCAGTTTCACACATGAGGAATAAAACTATCTTCTAAGGCAAGGTTTTAAGGAAAAGTAAGATTATACGGAGGCAGATTTGAAACTGGAACTTAGGTCATGACTGATGCCAAATCCCCCATTTTGCTGTTTCTGGGCAAAGCATTGTTAGGGGTCAGGTACTATTGGAGAGGAAGAGAAATTATATATATTTTTTCAGGAAATGCATTCGAAAGCTACAAACATCTGGGCATTTTTAGTTGCTTTTGGGTTATCCCATTGCCACTCCCCTCGAAGGCAGAAAGAATAGATAGATGCTGACTTTACTAATTTTGTGGTCTTCTGTTAAAAGGAGAAAAGGAAAATGCCTGGAGTTCCAAATGGAAACATTTGCCACATAGAACCGGAATCACATGGGGGTCACAGTGGGCCAGAACTTCAGCGTACTGGGCGGTAAGTTCTGGGACATTTCACAGCTGATGCTGCTTATTGGCCAGAAGTTGTGGAAAGAAATGTCCTGTTTCATTCAGCTGCCTTCTCTGTAGTGGGAATTTATTGGCTGGGGATGACCTTTCAAATGGAAGCACTGACTAGAAGTATTATGAATATATCAAATATTTTATTCATTCATTCAAGTTTATCCAACCACCTACCATGTTCTGTCTCACATCTAGTCCTTCCTACACGTTGTTCCGCTGATTTGAACACTTGTCTCCTTCCTCATCTCCTGGCTAACTCCTACTTATCCTTGTCTCAGCTTAGGCACCACTTCCTTTAGAAAGTCTTCCAGGACTCTCTAGAGATGAGGTTAGGTTTTCCTGCTATGTAATATCACAGCATCGAGCTCTAACCCCCCGCCTACATTATAGCCTTTATCATACTTTATTATTATTATTGCTTGATTTCTTATCTTTCCTGCTAGACTGTTTGCTCTAAAAGGAGAGGGACTCCACTAGCTTCCTAGCACAGTGCCCTGCACAGAATAGGCACTCAATATCTGATGAATGAATGAATACTTTTAGAATGATGCCTGTTCTGTAGCATGGAATGGACTGGCTATGGATAAATGTTGAGTGATCATTTTAGGTTAAGAAATTCCCTTAGGACAGGAAGATAGGTCCTATTTTAGGTGTGTGTACCGCAGAATAGACAATCTACTCTTCTGGGCCAAAGTTTTAAAGACAGATGTCCAAAGAGGAGATCCGTTGTGGTAGGTGAGGGAAGTAGGTCCCCAGACTAGGAGCTTTTGCTTCCTAGGTAGGAAAGTGGTAAAAGAGGATGATATTTTGGGTTGGTGTGACATCCATAGGTACCCCCAGATCATGGGAGAAGGTTGAAACTATGGATCTGGCTCTGTAAGTTGTGTTGTGTCTAAAAGTATCTGCTGAGTAGAGATTCTCAGGGCAGGATTCAGATCATATAGAAAGAAACTTTTACATCCTTTACTCCCTTGCCTTCACCTACTTTTCTTCCCCCTTGCTTGAAGTTTCTTTCTTTACTCTTCTATTCTCAGTACTCTATGCAATGGAAACTCAGGGTTGTTTTGGAATTATGGAGAGCAATTTATTTTTCTACTCTTGGAAATTCAGGAAAAAGTGAGAAGAGGAGACAGAGAAACAGGATAGAATGGCAGGCATTTAACTAAGTGTCCTGGTAGAGGAGTATGTTTTCTGGTTGGAGGAATGTATTTGAGGGTGAGGGAAGATAGCTATCCTCTGGGAGAAAGCACTGGTGGAATGGAGAAGCCCTTTGATTTGAAGGGGTCATTGAAAAGAGGGAGCAACCTTTAAGAGGGAGTTAAATATTTTCTTTAAAGCTGGGAGAAGTCTGAATTGGGTGACGAGGCCTGGTATTGAGAGGCAGTTCGAGGGAAGCATCTTAGAATGTGTTCCAGGACTGTAATTATTCAAGGAGAGGTGGCGTTTTTTTAAGAAATGGGTGTTGAGCATGGATTTGGTAACAGTTCAGAATTGTGATTTATATTTTAGATGTAAAGAGTTTCTACATCTTAGGAATTACAGTTTGAAAATAGTGGAATTACAGGCAACAGAGTTTCCCCCAAACAGATATCTGGTGCAGAGGTCAGATTTTGAGTTTCTTTTGGTGCCAAAGAAAACAGAATAGAGTCACAGGCTTTTTGAGAGGATCACTTATAATCAATTGCACACGGGGGTTTGGGGGACAATTAGATTGGATCTCAACTGTTATAAGATCTCAGAAATGGTGCCTGACATCCCCAAAGGAAATCCCACGTTGCCAGGATAATTGTGTGCTTAATCACAAATTCCAATATCTTAACTCACAAATTCAAATGGAGTTTGAAGGAGTTCTCCCATAATGTCGTATCAGGAACTTCTGGAACTGACAAAGCTGAAAGGAAGCTCTGGGCTCAGAACTTAGTTCTGCTTGGTATGAGAGAGATTTCTTCTTTCTGAACTCCTGATGTTTTCCTCAGAGACCTTAGTAAAGGACCTCAAGACACATGACCTTCCCGCCATTGTAGCCTCTTAGGCCAGGTGACATAATGCCTGCATGAGGGATCACAGTTCCAAGCCAGCTCTGGCCCTTTTCCCAGTCTAAAATTATGTGGGAGGTAAATGTGAGCCTTCCCTGCAGATGGACATCTTAGAAGATTCTGTAGCTTCCTGGACTGTACAAAGTAAAAACACGTTAGCCCAGGTTTTATAATTCTTCAAACCAATTAATTGTGTTTCTTTGAGACACAAAACCTGCTTTACGCATGTCATGTTGCACAGCCTTGGGGCAAAACATGGAGACTTAGGGATGTTATCCTTGTTGGATGGAGAGGTATTTGAAGGTGGCCTGGAGTAGACTCTAAGAAGGTGGGAAAGGAGACAAAGTTGAAATGGTAGTCTGAGTTCTGTATGAGATGACCCTTCAAGCCAGAGCTAACACAGTGTCTCGAACCTCCCTGATGTTGACTCAGGCAGGGATGCTGTACATGACAAAGAAAAAAGTATGACTAGAGTGTTCCTAGGCCAGAAGCTCCACAGCAAGGAGAGGAAACTCTGGAAAGGGGTTTTCCAGGGTAGATTTTTGTCCCTTATTGGGGATGCCACTTTTGGGAAGGGCTAATGAAAAAAAGAATCAGGAGCTGCTATCTCGATGATCCCCCACACTTCAAACAGGTTTCTTCCAAAGCACACCAGACAAATGGATGGCTGGCCTGTCCCTAAAGCCCTCCAGGGAAGGGCTCCCTAAGTCAGTGCTCCAGATCCTAGTGACCCTCTGCACGGGTAAGTCCTTTCTTGCATCAAGCTTAAATTCGTATCTCTGTGTACCTCCTGCCCCCCAAAGCTTAACATCAAGAACAGTATTGAAAGGGAAAGGAAGTCTCAAATATGGAGAGAAGTATCTATGCCTGATTAATACCTGTTGTAGATGTGCAATTACGGTCTGATTTTATGCATGTGTGAGGTATGAAGCTGACTCCATAAACAGTATTCAGAAATTATTTTATTAATTTACAGTTATACCATTGATATGATCCTCAGATCTTTCCCTGCCTGTTAATCACTTCTAGACAGACAGATGTCTTCCCTTTCTATGGCTTCTCATAAATCCATTTCACATAACTCTTTTGTCTGTCGCTCACAGACACTCCTCTCTGAAGATGCCTCCTGTGTCCAGGGCCTGACCAATCATGGCAGCATCTCAAGTGGCTTCAGTGGGATGGGACTTGGTATTATAGAAGGAGATTCTTCTCCTAGAATAATGCCCTTCAAAGGAAGGTTATTGATGATGAGGAGGTGATATTCACATGATTAAAGATGCTATGTTAGCTAAGGACCTGAAACCCTTAAATCTTGCCCCAGACTAATCACTGCTGCCTATAAGGTCCTTGAGGGGCTATTTACCCAGAGGAGAAAGCAAGACAAAGTGACACTTTACTACTAACCGGAGCCTTGGTCCCAAATCCTGAGGTGTAACTCTTGACCCTATAGATAGCGCTTTTACCTAAGCTAGGTTTGCCAGATAGGCTAAAACTAGGGCAGGTCACAAGGTTGGCCTTGCCTCTCTTCCCTAAGCCCAGATCCAGGCTGTGATATTATAAGTTGAGGAAAAATGAATCTCAACGACATCCACTAAAACCAGAGGAAAAGAGCAAGCGGGTAAGGTAAAACAGTGTCTGCCCTGTGTCCACTTGCATGCCCATTGTATTAGCTAGGTGGAAGATAGCATTTGAGTGGAGAAAGGGCTGTCTGGGCCAGCATACAGGTCCCAGGCCACCTCATACTGCTCCAGGATCCTAGGTGACAGAAGGAAAATAAGAGCTGGTCAAGACTCCTTCCATGAGAGAGTAGTTTGTTTGTTTGTTTTAGCTTTTTATTATAGAAAATTTCGAACACATGAAAAAAGAAGACAGAATAGTATCATGAACCCTCATGTACCCAACACAACTGTTATTGACATCTTGCCAAGCTTGTTTCATCAATTTCTTCCCACTTAATTTTATTTTTATGTTTTCCAGATTATTTTAAACCAAATCACAGGCATCATATCATTTTACCTGTAAATACCTCAGTATGTATCTCTGTTTGTTAAGGACATTAAAAAATTATCATGCCATTAGGCCGGGCGCGGTGGCTCACGCCTGTAATCCTAGCACTCTGGGAGGCCGAGGCGGGCGGATCGTTTGAGCTCAGGAGTTCGAAACCAGCCTGAGCAAGAGCGAGACCCCGTCTCTACTAAAAATAGAAAGAAATTAATTGGACAACTAAATATATATAGAAAAAAATTAGCCGGGCATGGTGGCACATGTCTGTAGTCCCAGCTACTCGGGAGGCTGAGGCAGAAGGATTACTTGAGCCCAGGACTTTGAGGTTGCTGTGAGCTAGGCTGACGCCACGGCACTCATTCTAGCCCGGGCAAAAGAGTAAGACTTTGTCTCAAAAAAAAAAAAAAATTATCATGCCATTATCAAATCTAATAAAATTAAGTCATTCTTTAAATTATCTAACTTTTTATGATTGTCTTAGCAACATCTTTTTAGAGTTCTTTTGTTTGATACAGGAGTCAATCAAGGTTTGCATTTGATTATTATGTTCCCATTCTATAATAGCCCCTCTTCCTTTTTTCCTATGTCATTGATTTGTGGAAGAAGCCAGGTGATTTGTGCTGTAGATGCTGAGTGGCTCTTTTTGTTACTCACCTGACAGCTTTCACCCTGGTGCAGTGACTACACTTTTAGAGAAAGTGGCCAAATCTGGGAGCACTCTGCCTCCTTAGTGTGGGATACCTTGTTATTGGTCTGTCTCATCTTTGGGAAGTGGAGAGGGGTCCCGAAGTTCTGCCATCAAGTCCTATTGATTAGCCTTTGAATCCGTCCACTTTTCCTCATCCCAATCCATGCTCCATTCATCATACCACCGTAAGAGTGATCCTTCCAGAATGCATGTTTGATTATGTTGCTCCCCTGTTTATAGTTCTTCAGTAATTTGACATGCAATTAGGATAAAGTTTTAATTCCTTAAAGCCATTTACAAGGCCCTTTGTGACTAAGATTCTCCAGCCTCGTCTATTGGAATTTGCCCTTCACACTGTATTATCCAGTCTTAACTCTTTCAGCACCTTGAACCTGCAATGCGTTCTCACGTGTAAATGTCACCCATGCTAGGCCCTGTGCCTCATCTGACTAACTCCCAGTCCATCCTTCGAGTCATTGCTGAAATGCCCCTCCCTGTTCTATGCTACCACAGCAGCCTCACAACACTGCCTGTCTCCTGCACTAGACTTGGTCTTGGAGAGCAAGGGCTGTGTCTGTCTTGCTCACTGCTGCATCTCCAGTACCTGGCACAGTGCCTGTCTCCAAGTGTCAGTTACTACTTGTCAAGTGCATGAATGAATTATTATGCTAATTTCTCATGAGTAAGCTGGGTAGTTGTTCAAGAAAGTGCATGTGATAGGGGCTTTTTATCTAGAAAACATTTAATAAAACTAACAATCATAATATCTTGAGTCGGTTTTGCACATTTCCTAATAACAGCTCAGAATTTAAAGTTTGAAGCTAATACTTACTTTCATGTTAATTTTTTTGAACTTTTTACTGAATGGGTAATATGCATACACAAATTAATTCTTTTTATTTTTGGGATAATCATTCAAATTTACTGCAAGTCATGCCCTTGCTTGCAAAGAGACTCTGTGCTGACCCCAGAGAGTTCTCCTGTACTTGGGGTCAAATAGAATCTAAAATATTACAATACAGAGCACATTAGAAATGCTTTCAAATATGTGCTGTTCACATGCTTTTGTGAAAGAGGGATTGTGTTAGAGGCCTGTCTGCCATGTTTCCACAGGCTATTTGGGGGCTTGGTGCTGGACATCAAGCGGAAGGCCCCCTGGTATTGGAGTGACTACCGGGATGCACTCAGCTTACAGTGTTTGGCCTCCTTTCTGTTCCTGTACTGTGCCTGCATGTCACCTGTCATCACCTTTGGGGGATTGCTTGGAGAAGCCACTGAGGGACGCATAGTAAGAACTTTTAAGCACTTTTAATGGTCTCAAACAAGACTTAAAATACTGTGGCGGCAGCCAAGTCCACTGTGGGGTGGGGTGGGGAGAAATTACCTAGTCTAGGACTGAGGAGATTGGATTCTTTCTCCTGAATGCCATGGACTTCTGACTGTTGTTCCAAAGAGCAACACAGTTCTCCCTTTAGAACAGACTCTTCTGCTACAATATCAGTTTCAGTAGCTGTTGCCCAGTTGAATTGTCTATTGCTTTAAAGATGGAAAATGGTTATATCGATGCCATTTGAAAATAAGATTTCAAGTGACTCTGTATGAGAGCTTATAGTGTGAATGGTTTCATCATGCTTTCTATATACTTTCAAATACTGAATTGAGTCACTGAAGAATAGGACTTAGTTGTGGAATCATGTGTGAGTGGATTTGGGCACCTGGATTATTAAAGTGGTATCTGTTTAGAAGAGTATTAGATGGGCTGGGTATGGTGGTGCCTGCCTGTAGTCCCACCTCCTCCGGAGGCTGAGGCAGGAGGATTGTGTGAGCCCAGGAGTCGGAGGTTGCAGTGAGCTATGATGATGCCACTGGCACTCTCGCCAGGGTGACAGAGTAAGACTCTGTCTCAAAAAAAAAGTATTAGTGGTGTGTACACATCACTCTTGCTAAGATGAAATACAAGCAAATGACTATCAAGGCACACAGGAGAGCTAAGTTGGGAATGTACACAAACCAACATTGCTCTTTACTGATGGGCTATGGACTCAGTGATGATTTTTTTTCCCCTCTCAGAGTGCCATTGAATCCTTGTTTGGAGCTTCCATGACTGGGATTGCTTATTCCTTATTTGCGGGACAGGCTCTCACCATCCTGGGAAGTACTGGGCCAGTGCTCGTGTTTGAAAAAATTTTGTTCAAATTCTGCAAGTAAGACATTTGTTTTTCTGAAAACTCTAATTCAATGTGGTTATTGTGCTGCCAGGGTTGAATGCCAGGGTCCTATGTGAGTCCAAGCTGGCAATATCATTCTAGATTGTAAGAAACCTGAAAAAAGAACATTATTTAGTCTGTTGTCCTGTTCTCAAGTAGTACCACACCTAAAATAGCAGATCTCCTATTCTTAAAGAGCTTGATTAATGTCTCTCAATCATTATTGAAGTCTTCACTTATCTTTAAAAAAACTCCTTTTCCTAGCTAATTCAAACTCCTCCACTTGCATTGCAAGTCAATTTTTAATTTATTCTAACATCCCCCCCTTCATATTCTGGTTGCTAGTGATAGTGGGACTCAACAGTGCTCTAGTTTCCCTACCTTTCCTATGAAATCTTTTTTTTTTTTTTTCATTCTGTATTAGAAATAGGAACATGTGGGACTAGGGCCAGCCCCTTTTTCTTACTGCAAGAATAAGGTCTTAATCACTTTGGGTAGTAGTGGCAGAAATGTTGTGAGACCCTTCCTTCCTTCTCCACTTTTCATATCCTTGCCCATATCCCATGAGACAAATCTTTATTACTGCTGTACCAGGGCATTGTTTAGGAGTGAAATGCAGTCAGAATCAGGGATAAACTGGATTCCAATGCTAGCATGGATTATATGAGATGAATTAACTATTTCTGACCCTTTGTCTCTTAATGCCATCCATCCATGCTTTTTGATGAACTTTGGTCTTGTTTCAGAGACTATGCTCTTTCATACCTCTCCCTTCGAGCTTGTATTGGACTGTGGACTGCCTTCCTGTGTATTGTCCTTGTGGCAACTGACGCCAGTTCCCTTGTCTGCTACATAACCCGCTTCACTGAAGAAGCATTTGCCTCCTTGATTTGCATTATTTTCATCTATGAAGCAATAGAAAAGCTGATTCACCTGGCAGAGACCTACCCCATCCACATGCACAGCCAGCTGGACCACCTTAGCCTCTATTAGTAAGTGTGCTTTTTGCTTACTTTTTTTTTAATTGAGCAAAGCACCTGAGTTTAATTGCTGATGTAGTGTGCCAGGCAGTGCTTGCAGCTTCTGGTAAGGAAGTGTCTTGGCCCTCTGGAAAACAGAGCTCAGAGATGGATGAGAAGACTTGGAGGAATGCCAGAGGAGAACAATCAAAAGAGATGACAAAGATAGACTAAGAGTGAAACACAGAGGGGACTTGAGAAATGCTTTCCAGAACGTATCTTTTGGTTCTATGCATTGAAACAAAAATAGGCTGTAAATGTATCAGGGAGAATTTGAGGTAGTTATTGGGAAGAATTTCTTTTTGCAAGAATTGTAAGCCCCTGGACCATGTTACTAAGTGAGAGAATGGACTCTCTTTCTCTCAAAGTACGTACAGGCAACTCTAAGGAATCATTAGGTAGAGATGTATTAATAATTCCTTTCAGATCCAGGGGTCTCTCTCATCATATCATAAAGATCTAGAAACTTATTTACTTCCTAGATTTCAACCCAAGAGACTGTGATTTCTTCATGTGTTCAATATAGTTAGGATTATCTGGAAAAGAAACAGAGAATCTGGCTGTGTTTTCATCCATCCAGGAAAGTCTGGTCCTATAAATCATTTCTTCTCTAGAATAGTATTCTCCAAATTATGACTAAAGATCTTCTTCCTTTAGCTCTGGACATCAAGTTCCCTCCTTCTGGCTGTACAGTTCTGCTGTGGAGGATCTGGTTGTAAAGCAAACAATTTCAACCTGAAACTGCCTGAGAAGAGAGAGCACCCTGCATGGGGGCATCTGCCAACCAGCCACAAACACGCTTTTATATATTCTAGTTATCCATTCATTTACCTTTTCAAAATCAGAATTAATAAAAAATTTATTAGAATTTTAATTATTTTATTACAAAGTAACAATGATTAAGGAATATAATCTTCAAAGCCCAGTGACAAGCCTAGCTTGTTAGCATTGGAATTCTCATTTCTGTAAGTAAGGTTCATTCTTTAATCTCTTTTTATCATTCATTTATTCATTTAACAAATATTTATTGAGCCCCTGTTATATGCCAGACATTGTTTTAGGCCCTGGAAGCACAGAGGTAAACATGACAAAGGATCTACCTTTATGAGGCTTATATTCTAGTGAGAGAAGACAGACAAAAGTGACCAGCCCTGGACTTCGGCTGGGTAGACTTTGGACCTGGAAACTGTAATTCTTTGTTAATAAGGCTCAAGATGATATTTTTCTTGTATTCCACTGTTGGTTCATATGATGTGGATGTGAAACTAGAACTCCCCAATTCTTTACATGACTTTATGTTAATATGTGTGGAATTGATTATTTAAAAATAGACTTTATTTCTTAGAACAGTTTTAGGCTTACAGCAAAGTTGAGTAGAAAGTACAGGGAATTTCATATATCCCTTGCTCCAACACATGCAGAGTCTCTTCCATTATTCACATCCCACACCAGAGTTATATATTTTTTACAATAAATGATCCTACATTGACACATCATTATCACCAAAAGTCCATAGTTTCCATCAGGGTTGACCCTTGGTGTTGTACATTCTATGGATTTTGACAAATGTTTAATGACATGTATCCACAATTATAGTATCATACAGAATAGTTTCACTGCCCTAAAAATCCTCTGTACTCTGCCTGTTCATCATCCCTCCCTCCCCTGCCAACCCCTAACAACCACTGATCTTTGTACTGCTTCCATAGTTTTGAATATTCCAGAATGTCATATAGTTGGAATCATACAGTATGTAGCCTTTTCAGACTGGCTTCTTTCACTTAGTAATGTGTACTTAAGGTCCTTCATGTCTTTTCATGGCTTGATAATTCATTTCTTTTTAGTGCTGAATAATATTTCATTGTCTACTGTACTATAGTTTATCCATTCATCTACTGAAGGACACCTTGGTTGCCTCCAAATTTGGAATTTTTCAAACCTAAACGTAGGGCTTTAGAGCTTTCCCTATTACTTTTAATTTTGTTGGTTTTCTGCTATTATTCTAACCTGTTAAGATCTTTTTAAATTTTAATTGTGGTCATGCTATATCTTGGAAGGCATGCTTATTAAATTCACAGATAGTACAAAGTTGATAGGAATGGCTGTGTCATTTGACCATTTTTTGGAGCCAGTTCAGGTATGAAACATGCTGGAACTGGGAGTCAACATTGTGGCCAGTGGGACAGGTGTGGTCTGGTCTGGTTTGGATATAAGAGGAGGCCTGGGAAAGTTAGTGGAGCTTCCAGGCCTGGCTCTAGCATGAGTAGCCAGGAAATGGCCAAGATAGTAGAATATTATCAAGGATAATGCAGTGTCAGGAAGCTCTTGCATCACAATTCTAGGAGACAATATTTAAAACAAGAGTGTACGAGGGCATATAGGGAATAAGATATTCAGGCTTGTAAGAAGTTGTTGGGAACTGATTGGGGTATTAGTAGGACCTCCTTGTGATGTAGATTGAATTTCATAGCAAGAGCCTAAGAGACAGAAACCAAACAAGAAAATGACCAGGACTCATTCTGGGTATGTTATATGCCAAGCGTGGTTGTCAGCACGATTTAATCCAAGACTCATACACTGATCTAAGTCCATCTTTAGTAACGAGCAAATGAAAAATTGGAGTGTGGCTGGGCCTGCAGATGGGCCTCAACCAATAGGACCCACCTCAGGGATCTGAAATATGCAAAGGAGAAACAAAGCAGGCTGTGAGAGTGCCTTAACTCCGTCATGGCTAAAAACATTTAATCGAATATTTACCTGCTTTCCTTAGGAATCTTTTTTATTTTTCCCCTCAGCTGCAGGTGTACTCTCCCAGAGAATCCAAACAATCACACCCTACAGTACTGGAAGGACCACAACATCGTGACAACGGAAATCCACTGGGCTAACCTGACTGTCAGTGTAAGTCTGGGAGCTGCCAGATGTCCTAGCCTTGTGACCACCAGGTGGAAGGAAGGGGGGTAGGCCTTTGGCAAACTCTGGCATTTATAGAAATAGAGCTTTTTTTTTTAAAAAAAAAAAAAACTATTCTTTCTTTCTTTTTTCCATACCAAAG